TATCCTAGACATAACTGATTTTGTTTAGCTTTTTAAAAGGGATGGAAGTGGGAGAGACACTGATGTGTGAATAGCGAAGTATATCTGGAACTGCAGCAGCCATGTTGTGACTGAGAGGAGTTTTAGCTTGTGGAGGACATGCTGAGAGTAACAGACCAGAAAGATGAAAAGGAACCTGAGTCCTTGATGGATTGGATGGAATGGATGGAATGGATGGAGCTGCTGACTTGACCAACCAAGGAAGTGGTTACCTTCCAGACTTCTTGTTACAGATATAGTACATCTCTTCTTAATTTAATACATTCTGAGCTGTGTTTCCTGCTACTGGAGTTGGAAACATCCTCAATGTTACAGGTGCCTTAGGACAGGCATGAATAGTGGGCTCTGGGAATCAGAGAAGGGATGGACTAGTATTAGGTGTTTAACTTTGATCTGTATGTATCTATATGGATGTCCATATTTGTATGTGCATATATTTGCATATATGTATATTGATTCTTTCATGCAGACAAAAAATATTTATTGAGTACCTACTGTGTGCTGGCCCCTTCCAGACACTAATTACAATGGTGAAAGAAACCTCCTGCAATATGATACCTGTTTTCATGGAGCTTATAATTTAAGTAATGATGACCAGATAAAGATATAATTAAAAGCTGGGATGAGTGCTATAAAGCAAAGTTTCAGTGTCATGAAATCATGTAAGATAAGAGGTAAACCTGACCTCTGAGGATTAAAGAAGGCTTCACTGGAATAGTGGTGTTTGAACTTGGGGGTAGGGTGTGGTCAAGAGATCATCATTCTAGAATATATGGAAGAGTTAACAAGCAGCAAAACCACACAGTGGCTCCTTAAAGTCAGGGATTATGTTTAGATAATCATGTATGCATTTATTCATATTCTTTGTCTATAGCACAGTGACCAGGCTCATCATAGACACTCATAATAAGTATTTGTGGACTGAATGAATGAACCCTCTTAACTCTCATTCTCCTTATCAAAAAATAATAAGTATAAAATGTCTGCTTCTAGCAGATAACATATATAAAGCATCTGAGCACATAGTAAGAACTCAATGGTTAGTAGTTCTTATAAAAGCACTATTATCATTGCCTTAAAATTTGCATACATTATCTCTGCTACTACATTGTAAACTCCAGAGTGGCATGAAAAGTACCTTATTTGTCTATGAATATTTCAAGGTTCTTAGCGCAGTGTCTTGCATAGAATAAATTATCTATAAAAATTCAGAGGATAAATGAAAGTCTTATTTAGGAATTAAATTGACAGGTTAAAGAAATTGTGCAGATTGAGAAAATAAAGTATCAAAGCTAGGTTAACTACTCTGTAAGGAATACTTACTTTCTAGAATAGAGATAAAATATATATAAGAAAAACCTCTAAAAACTGTAAAAACAAACAAGAATCATGTGTGGTGAAAAATGCCATTATAAAACAATTAATACAGAATATTATGTATATAATTCTTTTTTTTCTTTTTGGAGATGGGGTTTCACTTTTGTTGCCCAGTCTGGAGTGCAATGGCACAATCTCAGCTCACTGCAACCTCCACCTCCTGGGTTCAAGCGATTCTCCTGCCTCAGCTTCCCAAGTAGCTGGGATTACACGCAGGTGCCACCTCACCTGGCTAATTTTTTTTTTTTTTGTATTTTTAGTAGAGATGGGATTTCTCAGTGTTGTTCAGGTTGATCTTGAATTCCCAACCTCGGGTGATCCACCCACCTCGGCCTCCCAAAGTGCTGGGATTACAGGTGTGAGCCACTGCACTCAGCTTAACAATAAATAGAGAATATTATGTACGTAATTCAAAGCACATAGCTTGAATGTCACCATCTCAGAGATCACTCAATCTAATCAATCCTTAGCATATTTTAATTATTTGCATAACACTTATAGCCATCTGGTATTTTTCCCTTTGAGTTGATTGATTGATGCATTGATTGATTTTCAAATTCCATGTCTTCTCCAATAGAGTGATCTTGTCTGACTTGCTCCCTTTTTGTATTCATGGCACCCAGAGCTGTATCTTGTACATTGTTGGTGGACAAAGAAATACATGCTGAATAAAGTAGTGCATATACAAAATAATATTACATATTGTTTATGGAAGTACACATAAGTTTGTAAAAACATAAAAGGGAAGTGAAAGTATAAGCAGGAAGTTTTAGGGGTGGAGTGTTTTATAGGCAAAGGCTTGTGGAATGAGACTCAGCATGGTGGTTGGAAGGAACTTTACTTATATCTGAAATGGCTTATTACAAAAATAGACTAGAAGCAAAAGATGACAAAATAGTAACTATTATTTTGGTGTTCGGAATTTCAGCTTTATGTTATTCTTTGCACTTTTCTATGTCTTTTCCATTTCTCAAAGCAAATTAAAAAATAGAAAGTCTGAATGAAGAAGAATAAATTAATCCCTTGTAGTTTTACAGGATCTGAAGTTCTCTGAAGTGTTGTTATGTACACTTGATCATCACAATAATTTTGAGGTAGTTATTACCAGTCTTATTTTATATGAAAGGAAAATGAGACCAAGATTTATGAAAAGGCGTGCCATGAGGACCAACTGAGTCAAGGAACTATTTGGCTGATAACCTGAACTAGAGATGATTTCTCTTTTGAGATATGACATCAATATTCTTCAGATACAAGAACTAGATAGGAAGTAAAAAGAAATTAGCTTTGAGGACTAAAGGTAAGAGACTTAGAAGAGTTCAATATAAACTGACAAAGAGCAAATGAGTAAATATTTTATTCCAAAATAGAATATATTCTCCAAATGCTCTTAGAAAAATTACGGATACTTTTTATTATGTGTTGCATAATATACACTAAATATAAGGCTTGCTTTTCTTACCCGTAAAATATGGTGATTAGCTACCCTATATGGTTTTTGTGAGGATTAAATTGTTTACTTTTTGTAAAAGACAGCAGAGTATCTGGCACTTAATAAATGTTCAATATTTGTGTTCTTCTTCTTAGTTTTTTATGCTTCAGACATTATGCTGACCCATTGCAAATTGCCTTTTTTAATAAGTAAAAATGACTGAATGTGAGCAATTTTGTTGCATTTCATGCAATTATTCTATGAATGTAAAGTTTGATACCACTATCAACTATCCCATCTAGAGCATATGTGCGAGGGAAGGGCAGACCAAAATTTGAATAAAACAGATAGTTGTTTGAGGTTTGGGCTTGAGAGTTTATTTGCAAGGATAGATGAAAGAGATTTTACAAGTATGTAAGGAGGTGAAGGAGAGTCTAATTGGCAGAGATAGGTTTACATAATCAGAGCCAGGCAATTGCAATCATGACAGCTGTTTGATAGCTTTTGGCACCAAAATATATTGACCAGCTGAGATATCATCAATGCTTAACAATTTTATCTTTATGTCTATATCTTGGCCAGGTAGGTTGCCTTTGACCACCAAAGGTATAACAATATATTCCAATGTAAATGCCACATATGTATCTGTGTAACTCATATTCACATTGATGTGTTGCAAAATATACACTAAATACAAATGCATTTGCTTCTTTGTAATATCATGTTAAATGGTGTTATTAAGGAGGAATAGAATTAAAATATAAATTGATTTATCATTCTTAGTTATTCTGAAAAATGTGTGTACTGAAAGTAAATGAAACCTAATTATTAATTTTTTTAAATAAAAATTTGAGTATTATAGAGAAAGTAGTATGGCTGGGAAAAGGCAGTTCTGTACCATATATGTATAAAATTAATACTGGCAGGAGAGAGGTGATTGAGAGATTTAAACAGAAGGCTTCTTAGAGATCAGAAGGAAACCTTGGGCCAGTGGCTTAAGTCTATGAAGATATTCCAGAAATGCTTCAAGCTAGGTAATTTCCCCATAGTACCTTTAAATTATGAGATAAAACAAACAAAGGAAACATATTAGAACATTTTCCAGAATGCTTCATATACTAAAATTTAATGCATTAAAATATTCAGAATATTGTCAGAACTTGTTATTTTGGCATTTGCTGAATAAAATTTACAATACAAAGTTTTATTAAATAGCAAAAAGCAGTCATTCAAACATAGAAACCTTACTACCTAATTCAAAATGCATGTGAGTAAATCATTTCACCTGAAGATTGAAGAGTGAATTTTTTTGAGTTACTTTCATCAGCATCTCTAGATTGATCTTTAAACCTGGTAGTGATCATATATTTTTCTCTTCTCATAATATAGGTACTTGTTTGGCTACCAGTGATTGTTCCTCGTCCCCATATTAACTACTAAAAGTAATATCACTGTACCTTCTTCAAAGCCAGAGAGCTGACATTAAGTACTTTATATGAGGAGTGTTTTTTAAAAGGAGGCAATTAAGCAAGTTACTCCATACATCTACAGAAAGACTTAATCATCTGATAGAAGTCAAATAAAACACTGCTTGGGTTGCAAAGGCAACTATGAGAATCTTTTTTTTTTTTTCTTTTGAGACGAAATGTCACTCTATCACCCAGGCTGGAATACAATGGCACGATCTCCGCTCACTGCAACCTCTGCAACCTCCGCCTTCCAGTTTCATGCGATTCTCTTGCCTCAGCCTCCAGAGTAGCTGGGATTACAGGCGTCTGCTACCACACCCAGCTAACTCTGTATTTTTAGTAGAAACGGGGGTTTCACTATGTAGGCCAGGCTGGTCTCAAACTCCTGGTCTCAGGTGATCCACCACCTCGGCCTCCCAAAGTGCTGGGATTATAGGAATGAGCCACCACACCTGGCTGAGAATCTTTTCTAATAATATTTCACCTTCCTTCCTTCCTTCCTTCCTTCCTTCCTTCCTTCCTTCCTTCCTTCCTTCCTTCCTTCCTTCCTTCCTTCTTTCCTTCCCTCCCTCCTTCTTTCATTCTTTCCTTCCTTCCTTCCTCTCTATCTTGCTTGTTTGCTTGCTGATTATTTGACACACTATTAAAGAAGCCAATTTTTTAATTTCATTTATTTCTTCTCCTTTAGATAGAGGGCTTTTACGCAAACCTGGAGAAAATACATCATGGAATATTAGTAGTGGAAAGCATTTTAGTAATCATCTAGGTAGGGTCCCTCATTTATAGCTGAAAATATTTAGATGGAGAAAGCTTTTACAACTTAACATTCTATGGCCACTTAGTGGCAGAGCTGAGACAAGGTCCCAAACATGTACCAATAACTAGACTAATATCATTTCTTCTATCATGCTATCTTAAAACTCCTTTTCAAGCCATCTTTTCCTGAAAATATTATGTACCCACTTAGCATTTTCAGACTGAATAATCAGCATCTTTGCTGTTGTGGTTTTGCTTTTCAAAGATAATAGTGGGATAGCTCCTTAAGTTGAAACTCCTGGGATAAAGGAATCCTGGGTGCCAGCATGTAGGAAGTGTCCATCTCCATGCTCAGTTTTCACCTTGCACTGGCACTCCTCCACCAGCATCACCACCTTGATAACAGAGGAAAGTCCAGTGCAGTTCAGTGGTAAGTGCATCATGGTGAACTTGGCAGGTAAGCAGTGAGAGCAGAAGGCATGAGAGTGCTGTGCAGCTCCAGGAGAATGAGCAGACCCGCATTTCCCAAAGCAAAGGTTGTTCTGAATAACAACTTGTTCACAGTCTTCATGGGTTATAGTCTAAAAAGCAAACACATTTCCATTACATTATTTTGAATTATGTCTTTAACATACATAATGCAGAAGCTATGAACTGTAAACCTGAGGATAATTTACACTAAAAATATCAAAGCTTTCCAATTTTGGACACAATTTGCAATATCCAAGTGATGGTATCTATAAAGACATAGAATCACTTCGATTAAACTTTATTGAGTAAATTACTGATTAGCCTTTAGGAAATCCCTAACATAAAAATATTTTACTCTACACTATTAGTGCCAAACTTTGAGAAATTTTGTCTAATTGGATATAAGCAAAATGGTAATTATCTTATTTAAGTAATGTGCCCTACTTCTTTTTTTTTTTAGTTTGAAATTGAGTCTCACTCTGTCGCCCAGGCTGGAGTGCAGTGTTGTGATCTCAGCTCACTGCAACCTCCTCTTCTCAGGTTCAAGCAATTCTCCTGCCACAGCCTCCTGAGTAGCTGGGATTACAGGCATGTACTACCATGCCTGGCTAAGTTTTTTTTTTTTTTTTTTTTTTTTTAGTAGAGTTGGGGGTCTCACCATATTGACCAGGCTGGTCTCAAACTCCTGACCTTGTGATTCGCCCACCTTGGCCTCCAAAAGTGCTGGAATTACAGGCATGAGCCACTGCACCGGCCCATGCCTTACCTTTTTATTCCTCACAGTACTTTGTGCATAGTAGGCTCCCAATACGTATTTGTTAAATTGATTGTAGAATAGATCAGAACATTAGTTTTAATTCTGTCCTATTTTGCAATACCTGTAGTACATTCAAATCTATGAAGTTCTGTGCAGAGTTGCAATGCGTATGCCTGCAAATCATTGTGCATTACATCACCTTTACCTCTCATAATGCCAATCACCTAGCTTTATGTTCCTTTCAAAATATGTAAGAGTCAAACATCTTAATTTTAATTTAATTAGCAATAGCATTCAAAAGAAGGATTTCAAAGGAAATTTGATTGCCTGATTCTTATGAGTAATTTTCTAATTGCACATGGCCAACAGAGTAGTCATTATTATTTGATAATTGACTTGTCATTGCTACATATCCTTGCCTTTTCTGGCAGAATACTTAACTGCCTTGCACAGTCAATTGCCCTATGCTACGGCTTGCAATAAGCATTACTGGGTAGCATTACTGGACTGTAAAATTTTACTCTACCCTGCATTGTTTTTGGTTCAATAGCTTCATGTTTAAGGATCTGATGCAAGTTCTCAATTTTAATTTAACATTTGGAATGTAGATATTGCCAGAACTGGAGGAAGTAGACAGTAGGATGCCCCTGTGTCTTAATAGCATGGAATTGATCATAATAACTACAAATCAGCCAACACAAAATGAATCAGGATAAAGGTACTTCTAAGGGGAGGAAATATGATCTCACATCGAGATTGATTTTTTTGAAAGCTCATATAAGAAAATAGGTTAAAATTATTATTTTTTTTTTGCTATTGTAATACTAGAAATGAGGTGATAACTTTTGCCTGAGAACTTCGACATGCTTTGAGGTTGTGGTATAGCTTTAACAAGCTATTAAAGAACTATAAAGTAGTTAAGTATGAAATGTGGGGATTAAGACCATGGTAAACGGATATGAGAATGTTTGGGGAGGAGTCCAATGAACCTCACTTCATCAACAAATGGAGTTGACCTGCTCATCTACATATTAAATAGAATGCAGAAAGATAGCTACAGAGGAGTTCTGGTGATTACTCTAAATTCTCAGTTTCCTAACTGAAGGAACAATATGATTTGTCTCTTTGAGTAGATCACCTCCAATGCAAAAATAAATAAAACAAAGCTCTGTGTCTTCAATGTGAATGATGAGTGATATTGACAGTATCCTCATGTCATTCTTGCAGCATTTCCAGAATGCCAAGAAAAAAATGGAAAGGTTAGATGAAAACTTAACCTTTGCCAAATTCTATGATAAATGCCCAAGGACCAAATCTGTAGTTAAGCTAGACTCTGGCTCCCGACAGCCTTTTCTCCTACGCTCTGTCCAACCCAGCTGTCCACTACCACCTGCAAACCCTTAACTGCTCTCCCCTCAGGCTACATACCTGGCTGAAGGGCACTGTCCTGCAGGTCTCCCAGTGTATTTCATGGCTTTTGATGGGCAAGATGACCCCCTGAGAAGCTGGACTTTTTCTGAACATGAAGTGGTGCCAGAATTTCTTGGCTTCTTCCCCACGAGGAGATTTCTCCATTTTCATCCCATCTATTGGCTGGATGAAGGACTGGGTCCCAGGTGGGAGGTGCTCACTATCTGAGTCCCTGGATGGGCGCATGTCTCTCTCAGGCTTTTTCCAGAACCTGCCAAATCTGGACAGCATCTTCTCTCTCTGCCTCTGGCCTTCCCCTGCAGGGCTGGTGCCTACAAGGTGTGGCACTGCAACAAACAGATCCGGCTTTTCCTCAGCTTCCTCATGGTTACCTGTGGGGAGCTCTCTTTGATTCCTCTGGAGGAGTACAGGGGAAAGAGAACTCTGATTCTGGAGGCCATCCTGGTGCCGTGTGGCCTTTCCTAGAGGCAGGAGTACCAGCAGCTGAAGTAAGAGGAGATGCATGCTGTCAGAGTCCAAGCTTCTTTTGTAGATAACACAACACAAAGGAAAGGCTCATTCTCTGCAGGACTGGGAACAAGGAATTTGTATATATAGATAACCTGACTGGTGGGATTGGAAGCCAGGTGGTCAGTAGCCTGCAGAGCAAACACATTTATTGTTTGCTTGAATTATGTAGTGCTAATGGCCTCCTGCCTTCACTTTGGTTTTGTGTATTTTTAAAGGCCCCAGTGAAAGCCTGGGACCCAGGGGGTAATTAGCCGAAAGTTTAGCTGTGCCTGAGGCTTAAAGAGCAGTATTAGCAAAGACAACATATTCTTTGCCTAAATTTCCCATGAATGTTGTCAAAAGGACTCGAGTCAACTCACATTTGCTGTGCATCTGTATTGTGCTGGAATAGAGTAGACAAGACATGTTGCTGTGAGAGAAGTACATACATTGGATAAAAATTATACATTTAGAAAAAGCCCAGGTCTTTAGGAAGGCTACACACACACACCAAAGAAGTATATCAAAATTGTAAGGAAGAGCTAGAAGGATGTTAATTTTTTTGAGCAAGGGATGTATTGCCTCTTACTTACATGGGAATTGGGGTTGTTGATTTTTGAATGATAACTGAGGGAATACAGTCTCTTTTCCACACACACAGAAACTCACAATTCCCAAGTTAATCCTCTCACATTAAGAATCAATTACTGGGTGCTAAATTTCACAACTGGTCAGTCATCAGATAAACTCTTCCAATTGTTCACATATTTCTCAGCAGGATACCATGTAGTAGATTGACAGCTCATCAGTCCTCAATGTGGATGGGGAAATGTCTCCCTCCAGCCATCCTATCAATTTTTTTTTCTTTAAACAAAGAGCTAGACATGAGAACGTGGATTCTAAGAACCAGGTTTGATAACTTTGGGCATGAAGTTGGCTAGTCAGTTTCTTACCTTATTGAATCCACATCATCTCCCTTATTTTACACTAATTAATGGCCAGGCTAAACAAAGATTGAGACAAATAAGGATCTTCAGGAGTCAAAGGGAAAATTTAAAAATAGCTATCCTTCAAAATATCCTATCATGAATCAGCCTAGGATACAAAAAAGAAACATGTCCACAAAACTGAAACCCAGAATGGAGTCCAATCAGCCTACCACATGATTCAAACGGTGTTTCCATTGGGAAGCAATGTAATATCTGCTTTTATTTCTCCCCTTTTAATTCAATCACTATATTCCCTGCTTTCAGTAACACAAATAGTCCTGGAACATGTTCCCCCTTCTTTGTCAATACTGATTAAGCTTTCTTTCACTATGTTCTCCAAGTTGGTCTGAAACTGTTGACCTCAAGCCATCCTCTTGCCTCTGCCTCCCAAAGTGCTGCGATTATAGGCATCAGGCCCTGTGCTATGTGAACATATTTTTTTTAATTGTCTGCTATTTGAATTTCTTAATTACCCTCAGCCATCAAATGCAATAGGCTTTCCAGGGCAAGTCACTAGGCTTCCTGGTATAAATATGGTGTGGAAGCCAGCCATGATCTCTTTCCTGAGACCTTTTAAAATGTTACTTTTCAAGAACTGAAATTCCATTGCTATCAGAGTATCTAGTATTTCCCCAAACTAAAGACTATCTCAGAAATTCTATCTCAGGTCTCAGTTTGCTTGGCTCTGGAATTACTGAACATAAGATACAGTTGAGATAATTTCTGTTTAAGTGAAATTTGTAGAAGACTAACTTTTTGTATTAAGAATTATTTTAGATACTGGTAAATGATTGAAAAATGAATAAAACTTTGTCCCTGCCCTCAAGTAGGTTAGATAGTCTAGTGGTATTTATTATGCATCATCTAACTTTATTATATAAAATCATCTATAGGAATGTCAGTTATCCATTTTTCACTTTCCTGTAGTCCTAAACTTCCCTTCCTCTGATTCTAATTTTGGTCCTTATAAGTGCCATTTAAAAATCACCCACAGAGAATATCTTTTTGCTGTTCTGTCACTTATTTTGAAAAAATGTGCGAGTATCTTGAAATATTCCCCCTACCCCCATTAGTAAATACTATCCCTGAAAAGTAAATCTAGCAAAGGCAAGCCTCTGAAATGGGAACTATGAAACATAAGCCTATCTCCAACCTCTGTCTTTTTCAGCTGAAGGCAATGACTATCACCTTCTATTCATCAATTCTAAAGCCATTGATACGTTATGTGTGCATAATTATGTATGTATAACATGTAATACATGTATCATGTAATACATTATAATCTACTCTTAAGAACATAAATGAATATGCTGTAGCTTTTGCTAAAACATGCTGCTTCTGCTGGTCTTGCATTGATACAGGCATCTGGTTACCTCCCAATTTGGATGAACCAAATGGAAATGGAAGTAGGTTTGGAGGAGGTCTCAGATACAGTAGGAAGCTTTCATGAGGAGACAGAATCACCAATTATTAGTGCACTTGTTACCAAATGCCACAGTGACGGGTAGACCTGAGCTTATATGAGTGAGCCCAAGCCTGCTAAGCCCACTTCCTGGGCCAACCCTAGACATGCATGAGAACCAGAGCAGTCAATTCCAGAATTCATTCATTTCCATTTACAGACTCTCAGCATAATCTGACGGTTTTCAACTTGACTTGGGTTTCTTAGTTACTAAGATATTTTCAGGAACTCTAAAGGACCTCAAGAAGATACCAAAATTTAAAAATGTTTTCATATGACACTTTTACAAAATGTACAAGGAAAGAGGGCCATGAGACCCGCCACTCAAGACAAGTTGCGATGGTTTGTCTCCTTTTTGGAGCTCCCCAGCATGCCTCTGAGAAGACAGCAACAGCTACGTTTTCTGTTTCTCTTATAGACTCTCAGAAGACAGTTAAAAAGAAGGCTGGTGCTCTCCAAGGATGAACAGGGAGGCTAAGTTCTTCCCTGAAAGCCCGTCTTAAATCAACAAAAGGCGAGAAGCAGTGTTGAGGTGGGGGATGGACATTAGAGTTAAAGAGGAAAACTCAGAGCTGGAAAAGGACATTTGGTTGAAGGATTCAGTGACAATCTGTGTGGGAAGCATGCCACTGCCTCACCACTACCTCTCTTTTCAAAGCACAGAATAGCAATCACATCATGGAAGATTAGATTATTTTTTAAACTCAAAAAAAGACAGGCTGTTTTTTTTTTTATTTTCCAAGGAATAAGGAAAAAGGAACATTAGAATATATGACTTCCCCTTAAACCTTTTAATGAACAATTTAATTAATTATTCAAAATGTAGACTTCCTCCTCCCCTTTCCCTGGAAACACGTGAGGAAGAGCGGCATTCCACAGAGCTGCTCCTTTAACCGGACCAATTCATTCATTCTCACAGCGCATATCTGAATGCCCGCTCTGTGCTAGGAACTGGAGATAAGTGGTGACAGTGTCTTTGTTCAGGTTCAGGTCTAGTGGATTTTGCAATCTATAGGGACAGCCTATCATAATCAAAATAAGTTTTACAAAGAAAATTTAGGCCAGGCGCGGTGGCTCACACCTGTAATCCCAGCACTTTGGGAGGCTGAGGCGGGGTGGATCACTTGAGGTCAGGAGTTCGAGACCAGCCTGGCCAACATGGTGAAACCTCGTCTCTGCTAAAAATACAAAAACTAGCTGGGTGTGGCGGCCAGTACTTGTAATCCCAGCTACTCAGGAGGCTGAGGAAGGAGAATCGCTTGAACCTGGGAAGCGTAGGTTGCAGTGAGCCGAGATTGCATCACTGCACTGCAGCCTGCAAGACAGAGGGAGACTGTCTCAAAACAACAACAAAAACAAAAAGAAAATTTAGGCAGGCATCATTCCTGTACTCATCAGGGACTGTCAGGTAGATCCAAATCCCAAAGACGTAGTGAACTGTATGCTTTCTTTGAGCTAATTTTATTTAATAATAAATATTTGTTGAATTCAAGGAAGCACTGTAGACATGGTGCAGTACATTTCTCCTATTTTTGAGTAGGTAATAAATACACATAGTAACAAAAAATTTAAATAACACACAAAAAGAATGCACAATGAAAGGTTGTTTTTGCTCTGGCTCCACCTCAGGCTGCCTGTCCTTGCCATGGAGAGAACCATTGCTGTCAGTTTCTTTATTCAATCTTTTAAAATTGTCACCCAAAGATACCAAAATGTGTGACCAGTGGAAAAGGACAAATATCAGATGGTGTAACTGCAGACAAAAAAAATCCCCATTTCCACTTCAAGGCACTGATGTCTAGATTGTCTTTTAAAGATTAGATTATTCTGTCTGTAGTTTCAGTGATCTCACTGCCCTCTGTCCAAAACACTCTAAACACCACTGAGAAGTATTTTGATGTATTGGGGGTATTTTATTTTCTGCAACTGAGGATGTTTCTAGTACTGTACACCAGTCATGAACAATACCTACATGTGTCTAATCGGCTACATACCAAGAACGCAGAGAGGGCTCCTGCAAATCTGAGAATTAGGCCAAGGCAGCCTGAGCTGTCCCTCACCATGTGCTGCACCTTCCCACCTGTCCATCCATCCCCAGTGCTTGTGCCTATACTTATAGTCAGTTCAGGACGCAGTCACTGGTGCAATGGTTCTCCTTTTTCCTCATCTTTAAAATTTACCTTGTCTGTTTTTCCTTCTGTAGAAAGCTGATCTCAGAGCTAAGTAATGTCAGTGGAGGTATCTCTGGACTTGTGGCCCAAAAAACCAGATCTGATTCCTTGATCCACAGTACAACTTGTAAACTCTATGACGTCAGGCACTTAACTTGATGTCCCTGAATGTCTGCAGACAATTTACTTGCCCTGTCTTCCTCATTTAGGCCACTGTCTTTCTTTTCACCCTGAATATTACTATCATCCTGGGTGGCTTCAGTGTCCATGTAGTTAGGTTTGATCATTAGCATATCATCAGTATCCCATGGAAGTCCTATTTAATACCCTGGCTGAAATTTGGCCACCCTCAGGCCAATTGGCCTCCCTTCACCCATTACATTCTGATCCCTGTTACTACCAAGAACAGCTCCACTCTTAATTGTGAATTTCACATTCACTCTTTCATAACAA